GAGGGGTAGCGACCTCTTAGAGGTGGTACAGTGGACTATTACTATCTTTATGTCCTGACCCGATTTTTGAACTACGAGAACCTTACGATTACCATTGACAATTGCAAAATATTTTTCATGGGCTCCAACAGTTTACATTACTTAGGAGACAGGCTCCTTCGAACCTGTCTGCCGGGCCAACTCCGCTGCTTTGTGATATTATATCAAGCAAATAACAAAGATACTCCAAGAACTCCATTAAGAGGAAATCAAAGTCGGCATCTTTGACGCGCCACGCCAAAAGATTACTCCGTACATCGTAATCTTGATCTAGATCTAAGACAAAACAGTGACGTCAAAGGGAATCCAAAATTATGCTGGCAGTGCTTTTACAGATCCAGAAGACAGTGGCTTGTTGCTCGTAAACAGCAGAAACAGTGAAATGTATGGTCTAAATATAACAAGAGAGCTTTCTGAACTAGATTAATATGAAGACTACTATAACTGTAAGGGCGATTACAACTAACTAGCGGAAAAAAACCCAGAGCGTCTTAAAGTGAGGAAGGCATGAGCACTTTCATCGCCATCATCGTCGTCCTTATTATTGCTGACCCAGTGATCAGATTCAATTCATTTCGGAGGATGTCAGTTTCGCTTCTTCATGTCACCGCCAATGTTAACTCAAATATGTGTGGTAGATATAAATAAATCAAATCACAATGAAGTCTTCTCCAACTTGGAATCGAACTCACAGCCTCTATGGGCAAGGCGACAGTTAAGGGTTAATAAGCATGGGCACGATACAAGAAATGCTATGATACGTCGATTTGTAAATGTCTATTCAAATTCAGTGCTCAAAACATCCAATAACAGCGTGTCCACAATATCCGGAGAGTTCATGTTGTAAAACTGTTGCACCAGACGAGTCAGAACGACATTACAATATACAAGCACTGAGGAGAATTTGAAGAAGCAGACCAAACCACTGTGCTCACTATATATACTCCATAAAAGACTTCAAAAGGTATCCACCAACAACACGGCCTTTACGACACACACCAATGACGTCCCGAATCGAACCCATACAACACACGACAGCGGGTATGAGTGTGATGCCACCATTCAATACTATATTTGCTGCTCACTTCTGTGGTCAGAATGACACATGACCTAATCTTGTGCCCAGCACTTTTAAAATTCAGATCACAAGCACAAACATTCTTTTTTTTTAAAATAATAAAAAACCAGAATAAAAATCAACAAAACAACTTCACCACATCTCCATCAATACAGGAGCAGATAAAAAACATACACGAATAAAAGCCAGCTCAACATCTATGTAACCACAATTTGAATATTCGGATACAGGAAATGACCAAAAAGAAAAAAAAAACCAAAAAGAAAAACCTCGGTTGTATGTCCCAATCGCTGCACGGCTGCCCACAGACAGCTGACGGTGAAAACTCAATATTCCAAACGCCAACCCGCAGTGGATGGGAAAAGCGAAACAGGCAGCAAGCAAGCCGCGCGCGTTCGAAGGTCTGAAAGAGAGGGTGAGTGTGAGCGCCAATGTGTTTGTGTCTCTGTGCGCTTGGTCTGTGGTGAGGGGTACTGGGAGCATCAAAAGGTTCCACGCCACGCGCGCGCGTGTTTCCAACGCTCACTCTCGGTCCAGAGACCAGCAGGCGCAGCTCTCTCTCT